TGAAGCAGAAGTGCTCATGCTGAAGTAAAGGATATCTACTTAAAATCATGCCAACAATATCACAGACTAGATCACATTTCACCTAGTAATTCTCCTCTCTCATCAGTTTCTGTAACAAGAACCTAAAAAAAAAAAAGAGCAGTGGAGACAGGTATTTGGGGACTCAAAGGTCACTTCTACTAAGTCTCTTCATAGTTCAGTTGTTAGGATAACTGTACTTATAATATTAAAGCAATAGGGCACATTAATATTTTCACATGAACAGTACAATTGAAATGGCAACACATTCTTAAAATGTACTCATGATTCAATAACCAGGTCCTCTTATCTCAAGATAAAGACATCTGCATAAACAATGTTAAGGTGCTATAATTATTAGCAATACAAAGGTTTCAGATCTGTACTGGCTAGAGATGTGCAAATAGTTCATTCAGTTTGAGATTACTGTTCAAATGGAAGATGGGACCAAAATCAGAATATAAATCCTATTTCTTCTTCCATTTGTGTATACACTAAGCTACCAGGGGTGTAATAAAAGATATCAGATTCACCCAAAGAACCTTGTCTACTAAGCTAATAGGTATTCGTGCTTCTTTTAAATTTTATATCCAATTAATCTGTCCTCAGTTATTCCTATGTCTGAGAACAGAGAGAACTAATGGTAAGTGACACAGCATCCAGCTTTTACCTGTGTTTGGGAAGACTGCATTACACACAAGGAAAAAAGCCATGAATTAACCATGACATTTTCAAACAAAAAGATACTGATACTGTAATCTGCATATAGCACATTTTATACAAAATATTTTAAAAGATATTTAAAAATATTCAAATATTTAAAAATATTCAGCACATTTATTGGTACTACTTTTCCATATTTTTCTTCCTATTATACCAAGCCCTGACTGCCACAAGTCTGACTGTATGGGCTCTTAGGAGAGACACTGGGTAATAAATATTTTATCTACTTTTGGTAATATTTAGCAGCGTTCCCCATACCTAGTCCAAACTCCTTCCTAGTGCACATCTATCCGTGAATTCAAATGGATGCGTTTCAAATGGATATGGTAATGCGATTTAATTTTAGTCAATTCATGGCTGGTAAGGTACCCATTAAAAGGTACATTACTTTTCCAATATCCCTTTGGAGTTTCACACGCTGTGTACTTAATGGTTGCTTTGACCTTCATTGGAGCTTGGTTTCTTAATTCCCCATAGATCATTTTCTTCAGGGAGAACTGACAGGAGTTGCTTCAAATCTCAGGACACAGTTCCCTCTATCCTGAGATGTAGCCTCAGCAGGGGGATTTATTGTAGCTAGTGTGGCAAAAGGACCGTGTAGAATAAAAAGGCATTTTTTCCTGTGAGCTACTAACTGGGGTGGAAGAAACATTTACTGGTATACGGCCCTAAATCAAGTACATTAGTCACATGGATGATAGGATAAAAATGGAACTCTTCCAGCAAGAACTAGACTTTGACAATAGGTGTGGGCAGTTTCTTTTTATTGGTTCACCCCTCCCATTAATGTTCAGTCAAACATACTGGGCACATCTACACCTGGCATTAACACACTTTAGTTAATGCACATTAAATCTAGTACCACCAGGGATTTTTACATGTGCTCTGGGATGCGGCATCAGGCACTTTAATTACAGAGCTGCGCCAATTAAAAGCGCCCACATTGCGTGCATCAGCGTCCCTGAGCTGCAAAATGGTGGCGGGGAGCTTTGAACTAAAACACATTTGATGAGCTTTAGTTCAAAGTGCCCCACTGCCATTTTTTCAGTGCAGGGACGCTGATGCATATGATGTTTAGACTAGACATCCGAAGGCACAACTTCACAGTTAGGGTGGCTAGGATCTGGAACCAACTTCCAAGGGAAGTTGTGATGGCTCCTACCCTGGGGGTCTTTAAGAGGAGGCTTGATGTCTACCTGGCTGGGGTCATTTGAGTCCAGTTCTCTCTCCTGCCCAGGGCAGGGGTTGGACTTGATGATCTACAAGGTCCCTTCCAACCCTACATCTATGAATCTATGTGGAAGGCTGCCAGAGCACATCAATTTCCATGCTCCAGCAGACTTGATTAATCGATTTTCAGTGTGTTGGAGCAGGCTCCCCGAACATCTAATAGGAGCCTTCCACTGTGAGGCATTAAGAAAGTGAGCATTAGTCTGTCTTAAGGCGCATTAACTAAAAAGCAGTTTTTAAGCAACACTTAATGCACATTAGTCTATTTTAATGCACATAAACTGAATAGCACTTTTTTAGCGATGCTTTAATGCGCATTAAAGTGCTTGTGTAGATGCACCCACCAAGTACTATTCTAATCCTTAGTTTGACCACAGTTCCTGTGTTAAACAATTATTTATACCCACTTTTAATAACAGAGGAGTTAATGTCTGGGAAGTAGTTAAATGGGCTTATCATTGCCAGCTTGGGTTTCTTCCTCAGTCGGTAGGCAAATGAACTACGACACAAAAGGGAGTGGATATATACCATGCATCAGATACTCACGGATACTGCCTTTGTGCCCACTCTTACCCAGGGGTAGATGAAAACTAAAAACTACAGCAGCTTGGATTTCTTTCACTGAAGTATCTTAGTACCTTTCTTTGAGTACTGAGCTACTGCAGTTTAGCTTTCACCTACCGTGGAGCAAGAGAGTACTTACAGTGTCAGTGCTCCCACTTTAATTTTGATTTAGGCTGTTTGCATTAAGTCATCTGAAAGCTTGCAATCTACTTGGTATAATACTTACCAGCACAGCTTTCACTAAGGTATTCAAATCTGAACCCCTATTGAGATTTGTTTGATATTCTTCTGATACCCAAGATATGTCTATGGCCCTCACAGCATCCAAATACATCAATATTTTTAGTGCATTTATCACAGTGCTTCCATGAGGTAGGAAAGTGCTTGACCTCCATTTTGCAAACTAATTTACCCAAGGTCACATAGAAAGTTTACAGTAAGACAGAGCATTTAACAGACCTCCTGAGTCCCAGGCTTGTGCCCAAGCCAGCAGACCATCCTTCCCCATATAGAAGCCACAGAAAAAGTAAAGCTAAGTCATCACGATCTCTGAAACTTTTTTCCCCTTCTTCCCCCTACACCTCCCATGTACTATAAAGATTTCCATGCTAGTCACTTATTACTAACAAGAGGCTGACAAACCAGATTTCAATAAGAATAACAAAGCAGTTTCTGTGCAAGTGTGTGCCATTGGCTAGTTAGGAAGTTTCATGCCAGACATCTAAAGCTCCGTGAAAGTTATATGACAACCTACCTGAGACTCCTAAAATATTGCACAAGGAATGAACTAAATCTTACATTGATTTACAAGATAATTTAGAAAGATTACTAGAGGTGCACCAATACATTGGTCTGATATTGGATTGGTACCGATATGAAGAAAATTGTCTATATTGGATATTGGCCCTATGGGGCTGATAACTTGGCTGATAAATGCCCATGCTGTGTGCAGCCGCAGCGTAGCAAGGAGCAAAGTCAGCAGCATGGAGAGCTTCCTCCAGCTGGTAAGCCAGAAGGGGAGGGGCATGGGGGGGGGGCAGATCAACGCTTCTCGTGGTGAGGGAGGGGGCAGGCACTGCCTAGATGGAGTAGG